TTAAAAAGTAAGCCAATAGCGCTTGGGAAAAGATGCTTTCACTGGCACGTAATATTTCCGAAAAATTAAGCCCGATAGCGCTTGCAAAAAGTAGCTGCTCTTCATGATTAAGCATAATAGTATGATACAAAAGAAGCCCTCTTCTCATTGTGAAATCAGGGGTTTTAAAAAATAAGCCAATATGGCTTGGAAAAGGCAGCAATTTCTAATAGGCCGTAAGTATTTTCCGAACAAATTAAGCCATGAGCCTTGCAACAGTAGGCAATTGCGCGATCAAAAGAGCCCTCCTCCTCGCTGACAAATCAATGTTAAAATAAAGCCAAAGGCTTGGAAAAAGAGAAATTTCTACTAGCCTAATTATTTTTCGAAAATAAGTCATTAGCCTTCGCAAAAAGAGGCCGAATTTGACGTGATCAAAAGAGCCCTCTTACTATTGCTGAAATATGGTTAAAGAAAGAGCCAATGGGCTCTTGAAAAAGAGGAAATTTCTCCTAGGCGTAAATTATTTTTCGAAAAATAAGTTTTATAGCCCGTCACAAAAGTAGGCCAATTGCCTAGTTAAGAACAGTAACTAATGCTTTACCAAAAGGTCCCTCTTCCTCATTGCTGGAATTACGTTAAAAAGTAAGTCAATAGGCTTGGAAAAGAGCAATTTGTACTAAGCCTTAACTCACTTTCCGAAAATAAGCCAATACGCATTGCAAAAAAGTTTTTTCTTTACTGCTCAACTTTTTTGGAACAATATAGTCTTATTTGCTTAGAAAAAAAGTGCTACCAGTGTTTCATAAGGTTGCCTTTCCTTGTTGCTGAAACTTATTCAAGAAACGGCTGGAAGATGGTAAATATACAACAAACTTTGTCATTTTGCGAAAAAGTGGCCGGTAGCAAATAATTTGACAAAAAGTTAGTGAATGTTTTCTTTTTTCTCCAGCTTTATTTATATGACAAATCTTGCATTATCCTCAAAAAGAAATGTGCATTTAACAAATAATTGCAAATAATATTGAAGTTCAGAATGAATAATGGTTAGAAAGACGAGATTTCGAGCTATGTACGTTTATCAATTGGCTAGAAACAGAAATCGAGGCGAGCAAGCTGAAGGCGAGATTCGACATAGATAAAGAATGCGAGATGCGACGCAACCGAAAACAGAATAGGGAAGGGTAGAAAAGAAGATAATAAGAAAAGAGTAGAAAATAGATAGAAAAAGAAATCATTGAAGAAATCAAAATTTGTCAAGGCCATTAGGATAAAGAGTTTTTTGCTACAAAATTAAACGTTCTCCAAAGTGTCGATTTCGGTGGTTCTTCGGTGCTACAATAAGCCAACGATGGACATGTCGGCAGTAGAATGATGGAGGAGTTAAAAGTTTAGATATGTTGCTATCTGCATCGCTTGGGTGTTCTTCTGTAAGATGGATGTTGTTAGCAACATTTCTCAAATGTTCTCCAAAACGGTTGTCTATTTGACGGGAGTTTCACCGATGTAAAGAGATTTGGCATTTCGGGTAGATGATGCAGTAAATCACACAGGATGACGAACAGGCAAAGTTAGATCTGATGTGGAAGGATTGGTTTATGGTTGGTTTAATGTGGTGTGTAAGTCCGACCAGAGGTGATGTTGGCAGGGGAAAGTACCAGGCTGTTGTGATGTTTGATTTCAAGTTTTTGTTCTGACCATGTGGTCCTTTAAATTCTTGTCTCTGCGGAAAGCCAGCAGTGGTGGTTGCATTGAAGATGTTCTTGTTGTTCAGTGTCATTAATAAGAATTTGGAAATTGTTATAAATAATGTTTTTATGCTGTTGTTCGGAGATGGTTGAGAAGTTGTTTTAATTCATTGAATGCTGCCTGGGTACTATGGTCAGATATGTATTTGTTTTTGAAAAAGAAAACATTTCCTCTGCTTTTGAAAACAAATTTGTCATCTTTGAGCAAATACGCAAAGACGGCGGAGTTGAGAGAAGGCTATGGAGTTCTTTGCATTGGTGCGATGAAGTCGTAGTTAAGGAGGCAATGAGCATCTGTGCGTTTGTAGTATGGGATGTGATTTTCGTTGCCAGAGATATGAAGAGGATGTCCAAAATGGGAGCTTTTTCCGTAATAAAGTGCGTGAACTGTAAGGCTGGGTGAAAATTATTGGCGTAGTTAATAAAATTGTTGAAATCAGCCAAAGGAAGAGATGTTGCTCCAACGATGTCATCAAGATGTATTCTTTGATCGAGGCATAAAGGAAAAAGGGC